TTCATAATCCATATCTCAAAACTGAGAAACCTTGCCAGGACTCTTATCAGTGCTGATGGTTGTAAGGAATTCCCCTTTTTCGATAAATGGCGCCCTTTGCAGGTTTTTGCCAATGGACCTCTCTCATTTCTCTTCTAACCGTCGCCTTATAGTGCTCTTTGCGAGTTTTCACTAACAAGACTCTCTCATTTTTAGTTCTCTGCTCACCATCGCCTTACGGTGCTCGTATGGGTTTTCACCAACAAGACTCTCTCATTTTATTTTTTCATTTTGATTGCATCGGATCCAAATAGCTACGTTCTCCGATTCTTGAACATCTTTTACCGATTGATCGGAAGGACTTGAATAGGGTTTGGGTAAAAAAAGAATTTGGATCGAATTACAACTTTGGAACCATTCAGGCGGGATCACCGCCAAACCATTACAACATCTGCCCCAGTTTCACTTTTGGGGGAATTTGGATTTTTGTTTTGGTGTGATTCAACCATAGAGAGAGGTTGCCTACGTATCCTTTCGGAATCAAGTCGAACGTTGTTCAGGGAAACTTTATCTTTTATTTTTTTTTTCAAATTTTTTTAGGTTCCAAAGAGGGTAATCAAATAAGGGTGACCGGATCAAAGGGTTAGACAAGGATTGGAGTATTTGGGCTAGCGTGAATGAAATCCTTCGTCATCCCAATCGGATAATATTGGTACCGCAAAAGGGTTAAATGTAATACCTTTTAACCGCGTCTGCATTTACAGCTGTTTCAGGGTCATTTCCTTCAATGTCTCCTAGGTACAACGCCCCTTTCGGCAACAATTTTCTAATAATGTATGGGCCCTTCCAGTTGGGAGCGAACTTTCTTTTTGCTTCCTGTTGGTGAGGGAGAATATGCCTCAAAACGAGTTGCCCCACTTCAAAGTTCCTAGGCTGCACTTTCTTGTTTTAGGCACGGGTTATTCTTTGTTGATACAACTGCCCGTGGCAGACTGCGGCCATTCGCTTTTCATCAATCAGGGTTAACTATTCCAGACGGGTTTTGACCCACTCATTGTCCTCAATCTCAGCTTCAACAATGATCCGAAGAGAAGGGATTTCAACTTCTGTGGGTATCATGGCTTCAGTGCCATAAACCAATAGATATGGGGTTGCTCCGACTGATGTGCGCACAGTTGTGCGATATCCCAACAATGCAAACGACAACTTTTCATGCCACTGCCTGGAACTTTGGATCATCTTCCTAAGAATCTTCTTGATGTTCTTGTTTGCTACTTCAACAACACAATTAGCTTTGGGCCGATAAGGGGTAGAGTTTTGATGTATGATATTGAATTGTTCGCATATCTCCCTCATCAAATGACTATTCAAGTTCACAGCATTGTCCGTAATGATGGTCGTAGGAATAGCAAAATGGAAGATGCTATTGGAGTGCACAAAATCTAATACTGCTCTCTTAGTGACGGCTTTGAGGGTGACTGCTTCAACCCATTTTGTGAAGTAGTCAATGGCAACCAATATGAATCTATGCCCATTTGAAGCTTTTGGCTCGATTGGCCCAATGACATCCATACCCCAAGCAACGAACGTCTACGGTGCTGACATAAGATGCAGTTCTGTGGGTGGTGCATGAATTAGGTCACCATGCACCTAACACTGATGACATTTTCGGACAAAACTGAAGCAATCTTTTTCCATAGTCATCCAGTAATAGCCTGCTCGAAGGATCTTCTTTTCCTGGACGTATCCATTCATGTGGGGTCCACGCACTCCTGCGTGCACTTCATGCATGATTCTTCTGGACTCTTCGACATCCACACATCTTAACAAGTTGAGATCTGGAGTCCTTTTGTTCAAGACCTTGTCTCTCAACAAGAAACCACTAGCAAGCCTTCTAATGGTTCTCTTTTGGTCTCCATTGGATTGCTCGGGATTTTCTTTTGTTTTTAGAAATCTATTGATATCATGATACCATGGCTGAACATTTGGTTCCACCTCAACCATATTGCAGTAACCATGCCTTTCTCGGATTTAGATTTCTAGCGTGTCAATGTGGACATTGCCTAGATATGGCAACATCGAGGCCAAAGTAGCGAGTGCATCAGCTAACTCATTGTGAAAACGAGGAATGTACCTGAACTCGACTGACTTGAACCGCTTACTAAGATCTTCCACATGTTTCCTGTATGTAATAAGTTTGACATCCCAAGTTTCCCATTCACCATGAGCTTGTCAAATAGTCAGATCCGAATCTCCCATGATTATAAATTCTTCCACCTCTTAGTCGATTGCCCTATTCATACCCATAATGTAGGATTCATACTCGATAGTGTTGTTTGTGCAGAAATATCGAAGCCGGACTGTGGATGGATAGTGTTGACCAGTGGGGGAGATCAAAATTGCCCCAATCCCGACCCCTTTTGCGTTCACAGCTCCATCAAAGAACATTTTCCAAGCATTGGTGTCTTCTGATGTTACCTCAACTAAATTCACCTCCTTGTCCAGGAAGTAAGTACTCAAGGGATGATATTCATCATTAATATGGTTTTCAGCTAGGTGATCCGCTAAATCCTGGGCTTTCATTGTCGTGCGGGTGACATAGGATGTCAAATTCAGTGAGCAGGATCTGCCATTTTGCTAACTCCCTGTGGGCATCGACTTCTGGAATTTGTTCTTCAAAGGATCCAGCCTAGTGATAAGGTAGGTGGTGTAGGCCAATAGGTAATGCCTGAGCTTCTGAGCGACCCAAGTTAGGGCACAGCAAGTCCTTTCCAGCAAAGTGTACTTGGCTTTGTAGCTAGTGAACTTCTTGCTCGGATAGTATATTGCCTGCTCCTTCTTCCCGATCACATCGTGTTTCCCGAGGACACAGCCGAAGGAATTCTCCAAGATTGTTAGGTACAAAAATAAAGGCCTCCCAGNTGGTCACATCATGTTGCCCAAGAACGCACCCAAAGGAATTCTCCAACACTGTCAAATATAAAAACAAAGGCCTCTAAGGTTTGGGTGGGACCAAGACTGGCGGATTCGACAGATATTCTTTGATTTTGTCGAAGGCTTCTTGACACTCATCTGTCCATTTAATTGCCGCATCTTTCTTTAACAACTTAAATATGGGCTCACATGTGGATGCCAACTAAGCAATGAACCGACTGATGTAATTCAACCTTCCCAACAGGCTCATCACCTCTTTCTTGGTTCTCGAAGGAGGCAAATCCCGAATAGAATTTATCTTTGTTGGGTCTAGCTCGATACCCCTCCGACTGACTATAATTCCCAAGAGTTTGCCAGACGGAACACCAAATGCACATTTAGCCGGATTTAGCTTTAAGTCATACATACGCAGCCGCTCAAAGAACTTTCTCAAGTCCCGAACATGGTCGTCCTGTGTTCTGGATTTGATAATCACATTGTCCACATGCACCTCAATTTCTTGGTGCATCATGTCGTGAAAGATGGCAGTCATGGCCCTCATATAAGTTGCCCCGGCGTTCTTCAAACCAAAAGGCATGACCCTATAACAACAGGTGCCCCAGGGTGTGGTGAAGGCTGTCTTTTTTGTATCTTCTTCATCCATCAAGACCTGATGATATCCAGCATAACAATCCATGAAAGATTGTGTCTCATGTTTGGCACAGTTGTCAACAAGGACGTGGATATTTGGCAAATGGAAGTTGTCTTTGGGACTTGCTTTGTTCATATCTCGATAGTCAACACACACTCGAGTTTTCCCATCTTTCTTTGGCACGTGAACCACATTAGTTAACCATGTGGCGTATCGGACTACTCGGATCACCCCTGCCTTTAACTGTTTGGTGACCTCTTCTTTGATCTTGTCACTGATATCGGTTTTGAACTTCCTCTATTTTTGCTGGACAGGGGGGTAATCGGGTTAAGTCGACAACTTATGGACCACTAGATCAACACTTAGTCTTGGCATATCATCATAGGACCAAGCAAACACGTCTTTGAATTCAAACAAAAGTTGAATCAATGCATCCCTGGTTCTTTCATCTGTGTGAATGCTTATCATGATTTCTTGGACCTCTTCTGAACTACCCAGATTTACAGGCTCGATTTTATTTAGATTTGGCTTAGGCTTATTCTTAAATTGTTCCAATTCTCGATTTATTTCCCTAAAAGCCTCTTCTTCATCGTATTCCGGTTTTTGATTCATTATTTCACAATTAGACAGCGTGTTTGGATCTGGGCATGAAGTCCACAAGCATGTCATGTTATTTAAAGCTGCATTATTAGAACTGAAAGAAGAAATAAGAAAAAGTAACAAAAATCAGAAAGAATAAAGAGAGAGATTCATGAACGATGAAATATTGATTTCATTTCATTGAATTTTGAAGATAACAGAGTTTACAATGGAATTTAAAGATAGTAAACTAAATAAAACATCCAAGTTACACCCTGGAATAACTCGTGATGTAGAAAAGGTTGCAAGTTTGGACTACCGGGATTTCTGCCTGACTGGGAACAGAGTAACCTTCTAGTTTTGCAACTTGGAATTGGGCCCTATATACGGCACCTCAGCGATGCTCGAGCCTTCTCCTGGCTGGACTATGTGGGTTTCACACAACATCTACCTCATGGCTCCACATATGTCCTCAATTTCCTCGGCCGTGAAGGTCTCATCTTCTTCTTCTTCTTCTTCTTCTTCTTCTTCTTCTTCTTCTTCTTCTGTGTACTTGGGTTTGACGAATGTTTCGTAAAGATATGGGACCAACTGAGGTAACACCCAACAATTGCTCTTTCGTTCATTTGCCCATGTCACATCAGCTTCTGTAGCATGAAAACCAACACCGAAGAACTTCTCGCTGGCAGCTAAAGTGATAGGTTCTGTAATACCTAGCAATGATGCCCCGAGTCCCTTCCCAGGCTTATAACCATGCTCGATCATTTCAGTAGCCACCATGATGGACGCATTTGATAGAAAGGGCTGAGGACACGGGCTTTCGTCCTCACATTCATCTACGACCAAAACCTTAAAAGCTTCATAGACTATATGCCCGCTACCTTCCATAGCTTCGAGACATGGGATTGACGGGTCTTGGTAAATTGACTGCTTGTCCATGAACCACAATTTCCTGATCTTCGTGTTCAAACTTCACCATTTGATGGAGGGAAGAAGGTACAGCTCCCGCAGTATGGATCCAAGGCCTTCCTGAGAGAAAATTATAGGAAGTATCCATGTCCATGACCTGAAATGTCACTTCGAAATCCACAGGACCGATAGTCAAAATCAATTCAATCTCGCCTATGGTATCTCTCTTTATGCCATCAAAGGCACACACATAGACATTGTTAGGCCGGATTCTCTCAGTCCCAATCTCCATTCTTTGCAAAGTTGAGAGTGGGTAGATATCAACTCTGGATCCGCCATCCAGCATGACTCTTTTCACATAATACCCCTCACATTTAACGGTCAAATGGAGCGCTTTGTTGTGGGCGGCCCCTTCTGGGGGCAAATCATTCTTGCTAAAGGAAATCTGATTGACTGCGAAGAATCTTTCTGTCATCCTTTCCAATTGTTCGACAGTGGATTCAATCGGAACATAAGCTTCATTGAGGGTCTTTATCAACACTTTCTGATTCTTAGTTGAGCTTATAAGTAGAGGCAAAAGCAAGACCTGAGTGGGAGACTTCCATAGTCGGTCAATTACCTCGTAGTCCACAGTTTTCATTTTTTGGAAGAACTCCTCTGCTTCTTCAGCACTAACAGGTTTTTTGAGTGGGAAGCACTTTTGTTTGGCATTGTTCACTTCTTCCAGATTAAGGTACTTCCTAGATGGGTTGGTTTCATTTACTTCCCCTACAATTTCTTTCCCTTTGTATGTCACAATTGCTCTGTTGTAGTTCCAGGGGATTGTAGTGGGGTCTTTCATAGGCCTTTGTGGTGTGCGGCTAATGATCACGGGCTCGTTCAACCTGGGTGGAATTACTGGTCCCCGCACCACATAAGTCCCTTTGGGTACATACATCTTGGGTCCCTTGTTCAGCTCGAACCTCTTAGGAGGACTCAATGCCAATTGTTCTTTCCTGTGAGCTCAGGGAACATAAAGAATGGCGTCTTTAGGGGGTACTTCCCCTGTTTTGTTTTCCACAGTCTTTTCTTCACTTCGAGGAGCGGAGTTACTCTTCTTTCTCCCCCTTATCTTGCTTTGCGGCAGCCTTTGGCTTCTTTCCCACATCGGCTATGGCAATGATGGCTTTCAGGGCTAGGTCAAACTCTTTATCTTCACAAATCATCCCAATAATTGGACCGTTGTTGTGGGCCGACAATGGGTTGTTGGTCACATTGGGGACTTCTTCATCTTCCAGCACTACTCTCTTTTGCTCTATTAAGTTTTGGATTGCCCTTTTGAGAGTCCAACTGTCTTCAGTGTCATGCCTTTCCACTCCCGAATGGTAAGAACATCGAGTACCGGGTCGGTAGGAGGGTGACTCTAGGTTTTGCCTGGTTTGGGGTACGGGTTGCAACAAACCCATTTGGACCAGTTTAGGGAAAAGGCTAGAGTATGATTCACCAATAGACATGAAGTTTGTTCTTCTGGGTGATTCCCGAGCACAACATTGTATAAAAAATAATATCGAGGGGGACGGGGATTATATGGAGCTTGGTGAGGAGGGTTATTTCTAGGAAATGGAGCTCAGTTTTGGTTAAACTGTTGTTGTGGCCGAGCGTATGGCTGGGCGTTCATTGCTGCGTACGGCTGAGGAGCCATAGCATAGGCCACATCCTGATGAGGATAATAATGTTGTAGGGTGCTTGGAGGGAAGTAACCTCTGGGTGGACGGGGGTTTCTTAGAATTGAAGCCGCCATCACCAACTCTTCTTTCTTCTTTCTATTTGCTACACCTCCTGACCCTCTTTGGATTGCTTGCGATGTAGCTCTTATGGTAGATTGGCTCAATATGCGACCTGTTTTCAGACCATTTTCGACCATCTCACCATTCTTGATAGCCGCAGCAAATGGCTTTCCCATTGTAGACATCATATTCTGAAAGTAGTCAGCCTCTTGGGCTTGTATAAAAACACTGACCATTTCAGTTTCATCCATCGGGAGCTTGACTCTGGCCGCTTGCTCGCGCCATTTAATAGCATATTCTCGAAAACTTTCCGATGACTTCTTTTTGAGATTTGACAGGGAATTCCTGTCGGGAGCTATGTCTATGTTGTACTGAAATTGTCTGACGAAATCTCAGGCTAGATCATCCTATATGTGCCAGCGAGACATGTCTTGGTCCATGTACCACTCGGATCCAATGTCAGCTAGACTCTCTCCGAAATTAGCCATTAGGAGTTCTTCCTTTCCGCCTTCCCCTCTTAATTGATTGCAATACCTCTTGAGGTGGGCTATGGGATCCTTGTGCCCGTCATACTTTTCGAACTTGGGGTTCTTAAAGCCGAGGGGCAAATGCATATGCGGGAACATACATAGATCAACGTAGGATACGCTCTTTTGTCCGCTCAAACCTTCTATATTTTTGAGGCTCTATTCCATGCTCCTCATTTTCCAGGTAATTTCCTCTTGTTCGGGGTTCTTTGTAGCCTTCTCCTATCCCGCGGTAAACTCGTACCGGGGTTGTTGCGGGTAAGAATTGGTGGTGAAATGAGTAGGTTCTGGTTGAAAAGATGGTACTTGGAATGTGAATGATGATGGATCAAAGCTTGGCCTGGGCAAAGTTGGTTGTACCGCAGCCGAGGTTGGAGGTGCGGTAAATATGTTGGAGGCCACTCTCGAAACCACCTGGGGGAGAACCTCAAAAGGTGTTCCGGTGAAGTGAGCCAAGATGGCGGGGTATCCAAGTGGGGTATTCGGATAATTAATTGGGACATTGGAATTTCCACTTGCTCAGGGAAGTAACTCGGGGAAACCGGGTATGGCACTTGGCGGCTCCCTACCGTTGGACTAGGCGTCCCATATTTCCAACATGCGGAGGCGCAATGCCCTATTCTCTTCAGCTGCCGCTGACTCTGAGGTTGGGATAACCGATAGTGGGCTATCCTCTGGGATGGGAATTGTTGGTGGATGACCTTCTGACAATATTTCTACACTGCCCTTGGATCTTGTAAAGTACGAGTGTGAAGCCAGGTTACCACAAACCAACCACCTTAAAAACAGAACCTGAACTCAACAGTAGACAACAAACCTGTTAGTTTGAAACAATTAACACATAGGGAATCGCACATCGGGGGTGTGATGCACCCATACAGTTAAATATGTTTCTACATGTTTTGCAATTATTGCATGTCTCATCCTAGCTTTTGTTTATCTCCCCGATCTTTCTCTTGCTCTCTCTTGCATTCTTATTTTCCCTCTTATTCCCTTTTCCTTGTTTTCTCTTTTTTCTTTGGGCTTTCTCTTTTCCACATTTTCTCTCTTATTTTAAAAATCGTGACCGGATCCGATGAGAATTGCCTACGTATCACGACGCCACGTGAATCAGATTATCATGTAGTTCAAGGAATAAATGCAAAAATAAATAAAAACATTTTTTGGTTTTTCAAATTTTCATTAAAACAAGACTTCTAATTTTCTCTATTAAAAAGACTCGATCCTACATACCTGAGAATTGAAAACAGACTCGAAACAGACTTTAGTAATGAAAATATAGACTCGAAAAAGAGAAAACAATCAGGAGTACATCAATGCCTCCAATCCTGTCCTAGGAACACCAACTGGTCTTGCTGCGGGCCTATGCGCCATGTCATCCTGGAGACGATAGAGATCATCCATTATCTAGCGAACAAAGACCATGACTGTGGCGAAGAACATGCACCTAGTCATGTCCTCGCACTTGTTGCACTTCATCACGATGTAGTCGGCGATTCTTCTAACCCTTTCCCTGATGATGCCCTTTTTTTGCAACAACCACCCAATCTGCTGAGTCTAGCCTCCAAAACCCGGGTGGCGGTATGATTCTGTTCTTGCAAATGTTGTAGTTCTCCCTCTAGTTGTGCCATTAAAGCGTAGCAATGTTCCTTCTCGGCCTTGAAGCTCTTGGCTTGTTTAGTCATTTTGCCCTCAAGGCTATTAAGCTCCTTTTTCCAACCCATGACCCCTCTGTCATATCTTTCCTTCAATTGTCGATTGAAAATTGCCCGCTCTTCTGCATTTTTGGCTAACTTTGTTCGTACTTTCACTAGCTCAGACTCAGTTTTTTGCAAATCATCCTCAAAGTCATGTATTTTTTGCGTAAGATTATAGATGAGTCTTTCATCTTTTCTACTTTTTCCCGAGTTCTTGGCTGCTATTTTCATTTTTCGAACTTGGGCCCGGAGAGCTTCATTTTCTTGGACCAACCTTCTTCTTTCACCTTCAGCTTCTTGTGCCAATAAATCATTATTGAATACGACGTTTCTCAATTCTTCTTGCAAAGCGTGATTGGTGGCTTGATATTTTTTCTCCTTCTCTCTCCAAGCCAACCTTTCCCGAATTTTATCATAAAAAACTTGGACATGAGGTCTCTTGGCGGGCCTTTCAGGCTCGGGCTCATCATTTGCTCAAAACCTTCTTTCAAACCACACAGCATAATTCAGATCCACTTCCCCTCTCGCAAGATCCGGCACCTGGGTGTCACTTTTCAGATATCGACAACCATTCCAATCTCGTTGGAGTAAAGCCTCAGGCAATGTTGCTTCTGGCTGTAGCTCAATGACTTGGGTACTCAAATCTACATCTTCGGGTGCCACTTGATACCTTCCCAGATGCCTTAGAACTCTTTGCGTTGCATATGGTTGGATACTCCTCGGGCCCATCATCATCAAGTAGCCTTTTGAAGCTGTCATGTATATGACTTCTGTTACTGGAAACCACCCTAGAGTTCATTCAATTTGACTTTCTTTTAAAGTCCTTAAGTGGGAAACCCAAGCCTCAAAACCTTCTGGAGTTTTGTAATCTTTTACCCACTCCTCATGCCTCTTTATGAAGTTGTTCCCGTCCGCACCGTAACTCATGAACTTGGGGTGATGGCGGAGATGTTCAATCAACCATATTTGAAGAAGAATGTTTCAACCCTCGAAGAATTGAGCCCTGGTTTTACACAATGTCAATGATCGATAAATGTCTACAATATTAACGAAACAAGTGTGTGATCTTCCTTGGTAGTGAGGAGTTGTGCAATTCTGGCCATGCGAGTGTCTATTATCCTTTCCACATTTGGAAAGACCATGATCCCCAAAAATGCCACGATAAAAGCGAACCAACATCCTTTGCTTACACGAGCCAACATCCTTTGTTTAACCCTTTTTTATGTGTTTCAAAACTAGTTAAATGCCCGAACCTAAAGTATAAGAAGTAGAAAGAACAACATCCTTTGCTTACACGAGCCTTCTTCATTTGCTTACTAATATTTAGAAGATCGAAGAATTTGTGCACAGAGAGAGTCCTTGGGAATATGAGTTGTTGCTTCCTCAAGTCTTGGCCAAAGTCAATGTATCCTGCCATTTCCTCCAGAGAAGGGGTGAGCTCGAAATTGGAGAAACGGAACACGTTGTGGACAGGATCCCAACAGGTTACCAAGGCTTTGATCAAATCCTCATGGGGTTTGATGCTCATGATGTCTATAAGGGAACCCATCTACTTTTTCACCCAATCCTGGCCATCCTTATCTAAATCATTCAACTACATGCGAAGCTGCAACTGAGCTCGTTCTATGACAAATTGTGACTGGTTCTGAACAACATTTATTTGTGACAGGTCCTAGACAGTATTCATTTGTGAGGGGTCCTGGATAGTATTCATTTGTGACTGGTTCTGGATAGTATTCATTTGTGACGGGTACTAGACAATATTCATTTGTACCTGCGGAGGGTTAAGGTTAGGGTTGACTCTTGTGGACACTTTTTGCAAAATAAGTTTTCAATTTCTAAATAAAATCCATGGACGAAGACCCCTTTTATGCTACTTTAGCAAAAATGGTCGTTTTTGCAAACGTGGCCCCTTCACAATTCCAAACAAATTTTGAGGCCGGAGGAAAGTATTTTATTAAAAAAGACACCTTTTAGACAGACTTGCCCGTTCTTCCCGAAAATAGCCTTTCGACAATTGAAAGGTAATCTAAGGATATTCCGGTAAGAACAACTTAAAATACAGCCGAAGCTGGGTCGGCTTATTGTTTTGACCAAAGCCCTAAACTACACTTTACTTGATTATTTTTTGTAAAAAATAAGGCCGAACCTTATGTGGGTTGCCTACGTATCCCCACATCCGGTGAGAATTAGACCTGCGTAGTTCGGTCAATTTTGACATAAAAAAATATGATATTTGACTCATTTTTTTTAAACACATTTTCCCTCTTTTTATTTTCAAAAATTTTGGCAGAGTTTCTAGGCATTTTTCAAATACCGGGATTTTCAAAAATCGGGTAAATTCTCTATCCTAGCTAACTCTTGGTTTTTCTCTTTATTTCCTTTTCCTAGCCAGTCAACATGCAAGCCAAAACAAATAAATATTCATATAGCACATAGGATGCATCAGGATGGT